TTCGGTTTATACCTCGGCCCAACGCCGGAGCATAAATCACCCTCTCATTGTCAATGACAAGTTTCCAAGAATATTTTCTGCTTGGGTTAGCTTCAAGTGAAAGACCAAGGTACGTGAATGGCAATTTTTTACTTAAACAATTAAGTTTTGTTGCAAACTCTAGAATTAGATCATCAGCCTCACCAACCCCACATACCACACTTTTGTGGAAATTTATCCTAAGCCCAGATACCACTTCAAAGCTCCTCAAAATTCTTTTAATAGCAACCACATCAGACCATTACGCATTGCACATGATTATTGTGTCATCTGCGTACTGAAGATGAGACACACAGAACCCACCACTGCCCACTTCCACCCCATTGATAATCCCCAATTCCTTTGCTCTATTCAACAATATACTAAGCCCTTCAGCTACAACATTGAACAAAAGATGTGAAAGTGGATCACCTTGCCTTAACCCTCTACAAGGACAAAACTCTTCAGATAAAGATCCATTCACTAAAATAGATACTCTAGGTAAGGTAATGCACTCTTTACCCAATCTGACCATCTTGGTCCAAACCTAAAGTTTGCCAACATCTGAAGAAGAAAATTCCAATTCATCAAATCATAGGCTTTCTCAAAATCTAGTTTAAGGATTAGTCCTCTCTTTTTAGATTTCTTCCACCAATCTACTACCTCATTTGTAATGAGAACCCCATCCAAAATGTTTCTCCCCCTCAAGAATGCTGATTGGACTTTATCAATTACATTTGGTAATACTTGTTTCAATCTGTTAGCTAACACTTTAGATAAGATTTTGTGCACAGAATAGATCAAACTAATTGGTCTATACTCCATAATGGATGATGAGATGTCTCTCTTTGGAATAAGGGTGACAAAAGAGCAGTTTATACCATAACCCAATCTACTGTTTTTATGGAATTCCTTCATGAAATTCATTATATCTTCTTTCATCACCTTCCAACCCTTCTGAAAGCACATCATACTGAAACCATCAGGCCCTGGAGCTTTATTCCCATCACTCCCCCAAACAAACTTCCACCACTGACCCGCGTCTCCCTTCAACTGGAAAGACGCCAAGGTCACCTTCAAAGCCCTGTCTTTGATGCCGAGCATCTCAAACATCTTCATCATCTACTCAAGCCACTCATCAGCCTTAAGTCGCTCTTTCAAATCTCCCACAAACTCGTCCGGATTCGACCGGAAGAACTCCCTCTTCAGAAAAGAAGGCCCTGCCTCAGCAACATGGGCCTGGACCTGATTCTCAGCTCTGAGAATGTCCTTGGATTCCCTCAACGCTCCTGCCATCTCGCAGGCTAAGGCGCCCATGGCCTGTTAACCTACTGGCTCGGCCACATTGGCCTGGCCAACACCCTCATGCTGCTTCGAAATATCATCCGGTATAGGCACCTCCTACCTCCTAGGCCTACCTCGCCTACCACCACGTCCTCGTCCTGACATCCTAATAAAGGTAACAAAAACATTAGCACATTCACAAATATGCCGAAGCTATTTCACTCGCATCCTAATACATGGGACAATAGTAATTCACTCCACGTAAGCACATAATCACATAAGCACTTACGAATTTCATTTATGGATAATGACAGCCCCGAGGAGTTGCTAGAGTTCCAGTTAGAAACAGCAGTGATCAACTACCTTTCCAACAAGACTCCCAGAAACCCAAGGATCCAATCAACATCCTAGAAACTAAATCCCATACTCAAGTAGTCACATAAACATGTTATCACATAAGCACATAACTTTAAATCTAAGTCACTAACAAGTAAGGCAAACCCACTGTGGTACTAACCACTTCCCATGTACCCAAAGTATTGAAACCCGGTACGCTCTGATACCAAGTTGTAACGCCCGCATAAAAAACCCATAATCATACATTCATGGTACAAAAAAAAAAGATATCATATTACCAGCATCAGAGTATTCTTACAAGAGATATTACATGTTGACAACAAAAGTAAATGCCCTATAGGCTTACAACTTTCCAAGTCAACACCTGGGCTCAACAAAAGTAGAGTCCTAACTCTCTTTACACAAAAATAAGCCCTTGGCTTGATATACATGTAATACAGAAAGGTATCACAAAAAGATCTCTCAGCCTCTAAACCTCCCAAGCTACGTCCTTGGAGGTGGCATGTCACCTGAACCTGAAAATGATGTCCATATAGGGTGAGCCAACGCCCAGTAGAGATATGCTAAACATAATATGAACAATAACTAAAACATTCACACTTGATAAATGTTTAACTCATATAAATCAACTTATAACACATGTCAGTTTCATTCCGAATATGTATATGTTTCATTCCTCTTTCCTTTACTTAACCAATTCCTTTCATAAACATGGCCCAGAACCTGGCCAAACAATTAAATGAGACAACATGCCATAACAACAATACTTCAATTTCAATTGAGATAATAACTCATACCAACAATACTTCAATTTCAAATGAGATAACAACTCGTATCAACAATACTTTAATTTCAAATGAGATAACAACTCATATAAAAAACACTTCCATACTTCAATTAATACACATATTTGCTGTATTAATGGAGTCCATCCCCTATCTCCTCCCAAACATACGGTTTAGGAGTTCATCCCCTATCTCCTCGCAAACCGTGGAGTACATCTCCTATCTCCTCCCAAACAACATACATATACGATGTATTAAACACTTATCATATAAAATAATCAAGCAACGCACATATTCAATGTGTTATTCCATCCATCATATTCAATGACATGCTCAATTGATTAGTTTTAATTCACCTAATCATCATGCAGTATCTACAGCAATCAAGACTATCCTCCACCGATAGCCCAAAGCAATTATTTCTAAACAGATAATAATTACATCCAATAGATAAATTATCAATATTTTTAAATGTGGGTGATTAATAAATTCAACTCTACCATTCAATCTCATAATAAGCCGATTTCATTAATTCCAACCCAATTCCATATTTCCATAACTTTCCCAAAGTAATTATACAAACTAATTCATAATAATAAATTAGGGCTTTTCTCCCCCTTTCTCAACATTGACCCCAAAGGTTCAAATATTAACAATAAACATCAATAACATCTTTTAAGACCCAAAACACACATGTATTGGTCAAAAGAACAAAACCCCACTTTTCAATATTTCAAATCTCAAACCCTAACCTCCCCAAATCAAACCATTTATACAAAGTGCCCAACATCTATGTTAAAGCTCATAAAAATGAGTAGTTATCCCTATCTCAAATGGAGAGACCAAATGGAGAAGATGATGAAACTCGAAATGCTCAAAACCCATAGATTTTCGGATTGATATGTAGCCCACACCAAGCTCTACACTTTATGCAAAGGAACTATGGTAGAAGATCACTCAAGCTAGATGATTTCGTAGAGAGAAATTGTAGTCTAGAGTGAGAAGCTCTCAAGTTTGGGTTTTGAAAAGTTAGAGAGAGAGAATGGCCCAAAAAAGTGATCTAAAAAGCTATTTTTCGGATTGATATACAAACAGGTCTGCTTGAGCGTGGAACTCCCCACTTGAGCGTCTGACACAAACTCACGCTCGAACGTGAAAAATGCCACTCGAGCGTCGAATGCACACTTCCAGAAGTTTTGCAGACGAAGGTCCCCACTCGAGCATGAAAGTGGACGCTTGAGTGTCCGATGACCTGTAGAACAAAATACCGAGAGATGAAAAATCCCGCTCTAGCGGAGAAACAAAAGCAAAGGGCCCGCTCGAGCGTTTAAAGCCCTGCTCGAGCGTAAAGGCCAAAATCTAGGCATCAACCCTTGGTTTTCAAACACAACCAACCTGTTTCAAACCTGCTCAATCCAACCCAAGACATCAAATACAAAGAGTAAAGGACGGAAACGGGAATAAGACAATAACACATCAACGGAACCGAGTCCGGAATACAATAAACAATGAAGGAAAAATCGGGATCGTTATAAAAAGTGAGGGGGTGAGCCCAGTTTACAATCTTGCACAAGTGAGTTGCGAACCCTAATATGGCACGGGATGGTATTTCGGCTCTTATCGGTGTAGGCGATATAAGGTTGGTGGTGCGGGTGTCACAACATAGATCGTTCCGTTAGGGCAGACCGTGATGTCACGACTCGGGTACGTAACCCTGGTGCGTGGGCATCATTGGTAATTACAGCAAGTAACATTTGAATATTTGATCAAGGGGGAGTCAGAATTGCCCGTGGCCATTACTTAGCGGTTGAGTGAAAATAGTGCTTCGTGGAGAGTTACTTAAATTTATCTAATAAACTAAATCTATGAGAATTTAAAAAGAAAGGTGGGCATTTTTCATATGATGAAATACTGCTTCCGTTTGCCATTTTATTTATTTATTTATTATTATCGATTGTTATTATTTCAACTGATAGCATTCTTGTTATTCTTATTAAATGCTACTAGTTATTTTGTTACTACACATTATTCATTAATTGTGAGTATTATTATCGGGGTGGGTATTTTCGGGTTGTAATATTGTATTGAGCTTGTCGCTCATTCGCATTCCCGTTGCCTTACCGTTTTGTGCGAGGTACCGAAGAAACAGAAGGGAACACCAAGGCCTTGCAAGGCGACATTCAACCTTGGTTAGCTTGAAGAGTGCCCAAGTTCCATGAGCTATTTTCTAAATTTTCTAGTTTTCTTTTTAATATTTGTGTTATTTTTTATGTACTAAGACTAAGTTGTAATTTAAGAACTTTAAATTTCTGGGTTGTTAATTAATAGATGTTGGTAATACTTGTGGCAATATTGATTTTAAATTCTAAATCTTAATATGATGTCCTTAAATTTTGGGGCGTCACAAATAACTTCATCAATCTTCATTGAGTTAATCATATTTCTGTTTTGCCTCATAGATGCCATTATATGGAAAAACCTTGTGTTCTTGTCCCCTTTTAATGCCCAATCTAGTCTTGACTTTTGTAGCCACAACCATTCCTTTCTTTTTCAAATCTACCAAACCAACCCTAACACCTCTTTTCTTCTTGTGATTTCCATCTCATTAAGGTTTGTGGATTCTGCCTTTAAGTGTAACTTGTGCAGCTCATCTTCAACCTCTTTAAGTTTTGATTCCACATTTTCGAACACCTCACTGTTCCATTTTTTCAGAGCCATTTTGAATGATCTTAACTTACTCATAACAATATACCCTACCCATCCCCTTACATTCAAACCTTCCCAAGCCTTTTTTAGCTCCTTCATGAACATAGGATGCATGACCCACACATTTATGAACCTAAAAGGTTTAGGTCTCCAATCTCTCTTATCTTCTTTCAATAAAATTGGGCAATGATCAGACAGCATTCTAGGTAACCCCCACACCTTGAATTTGAACCATTCTAACCATTTTGGGTTAACTAAGAATCTGTCAATTCTACTCCAACTTTGGGAATTGCCCCATGTGTATTGTCTCCCAAGCATAGAAATGTCCACCAATTCCAACTCATTAATAAAGCTCCCAAACTCAGCCATACCCTTATCTTTCCTTAGACAACCTTTTCTCTCAACAATTGAAGTAATTTCATTGAAATCCTCTCCTAAGCACCATGGTTTAGGAAAGTTTTCTTTTAATTTAGACAACACCCCCCATAATTGCCTCCTAACAGCCTCCTCATTAGGAGCATAAATATTACCAATAACACAATCAATGCTAGAATGAAAAATGCCTGCAAGTAGAATAAACCTCCTGGAGCTGCAACAATCTTTTAAAGCAAAGACATCTGGATTCCATATGCAAAGAAAACCACCCGTACTATCTTCCGCATCCACCCACATGAACTCCATTGATTCATTAGGCCAGAGTGACCTAACAAATCTATCATCAACCTCTGATTTTTTTGTCTCTTGTAGCATAACCATATCCACCTTTTTTTTCTTTTAATACTTCCTTGATTCTTTATCTTTTCTCTACCCTTCCAAGCCCTCTCACATTCCATGATAGATTCTTCATTTAGCAGCAAATTTCTCTTAATTTCACCCTGGAATGTTAGTTTAAACACTTCCTTTTTTCATCTCTCCTACTAGCCTTGCTTCATCATCTTCTTCCATTTGGATGATCTTGTTAATTGCTTCAGCTTCATTTCCTTCAAAATCCAACCCCAATACCTTTCCCATCGTAATTGTATCTTAGGCTTCATTCATTAATTTCCTTTGAATGCCAGAGAGGTTTACTGACAGGCATCGAAGCTGAAATCGCAGCTACTACCTCACAGAATAAAGCCCCTCTCTGAAATCCTCCTCTAAAAATTACCCCTTTTCTTCCTTTTTTTTCCTCTAATGATACCATTTTTCTTTCCTTCGCTGCTCAACATTCTCACTCACATCAGATTACACTCATATTATTTCCATGGCTTACTAAGTTGTATTCTTTCTCCACTTGGGTCTCCATCTGGTTAATCCTTAAAACCTTAGTGGGTTGTTTACCATCTTTCACCATATGGACTAAGCTACCTCTCAGCCCAGTCAACAGTTCATTGGTCTCATTGACAGAAGTTGGGCTGCATCCAAGACCACCTCTAAATTAATATTGGGCCTCAGTAATTCATTCTCATCTAAACTTCTTATAAGCCCATCAGGCCCCACCTTAGATCTGTCATGCCGCTTCACGCATGCCTCCCTTGAGTCTTGTACAATCTGTTAATGGTGTCTGTCAAACTCTTGGAGCCGCAAACCTTGTGTTAGATTCATTTATGATGGATACAGTTGTGGAGAGAATAGTGTTCCCATCATCCAATCCCTCCATTCCAGCATTGATCATCTCATTGGTTTCCATAGCATCTTGAGCCTCCACCTCAGCTACTTTGCATGCCACGTCCTCATCTTCTTTCATCTTGCCATGGCCAAATGCAACACTCTGCTCTTCTCTATTGTTGTTCCTCCACTGAATCCTTCCAACTTGGCTTTTCATTATGATTACAATAGTTGAGATGTTCTCCATTACCACAGCTGCAATCTTCGACCACACGAATTAGGTACACACTACCTTTGTTTTCCAGAATAATCATTTTATCCACTCGCTCTAGCTGAGAGGAACAGATTCTAACACTACCACATTTTAGAGAGTCCATGTTTAAGGTGGCTTCATCAATCTCCACAATTTCCCCCCACACTTTTCCTATTTTCTGGAAGTTTTGGCTATTCCACAGAATGGGAGGTACACCATAGCAATTAAGCCATAGTAATTGTTCATTTTCCACTCTCAACTCTTTTTTCCAACTAACACACCTCACACCAATCATGAATCCATTCTCCCATCTCTAGCATTTTTGTCTTCATTTCCTCTCCTAACCTGAAAGACATGTACACAAATCTTCCTCCACCTTCTCTTACTTTCACATCCTCCAAACCTCTGTTCTGAAATTCCTTTTTTAATTCTGCAAAACTACATTTCACTCGCATCTTGGCTATTGCACTATCATATAACCAACTAATTCCATACTCCTCTGCCTTAACTCGCACATCACTTCCATCTCTACCACTTGGCCCTTTGACCACCTCAGCATAGGTGTCTCTTTTTGTGTTTCCATTAGGTATAAACCTTCCTACACCTTCTGTTTGAGGCCTGTTTGGCCCCTCTTTTACTTGAACCTTTTCCTTACCAGCTTGCTCCTTTCCGTAATCTGCCTTTTTGACCTTCAATGTCTTGTCTTCACACCACACTCCATTAGCTTTTTTCACAACAACCCCAACAGCTATAGGGCAGTCATATCGAACAAAACCAAACATGGACGGTGTTGCTTTTCACCTCTTGTGTGGTATGAAGACATCCTTCACTACCCCAAAATTAGCGAACAAAGTATAAAGTCCTTCAGGACTCATTGAATCAGGTATATCATCAACAAACACTGTATAGATATTTGGTGATGCTCTAGCTCTTCTTATTCTTCTCCGAAACACTGGCTTTCATCCTCCTTCCATCCTCCTGAGTTTCTCTTTAACTTGGTATGTGTTTTATAAGTCATTAGTTAAATAATGTTTCATGAATAGATTATTAATTTAAACTTTATGTTTTTTCAATTTTTCAATAAATACTTTTATTAATAGGATCATGTTAATAATTGGGTAAAAATAATAAATCTTTTATATTTTTATTTTATTTTTATTTTTTTTATCAAATTAATTATAGTATGTATTTAGATGATGATCATGTAACATGTGGTTATTTTTGTTGATGTTTTTAGATGATTATAATGTAATATATGGTTATATTTGTTGTTAATAGATATTTATGATTATCATGTAATGGATGGTTATTAAGCTTTTAATGTGTAATCGATATGTTTAATATATGAAATGCTTTTAGTTTTGAATTTTTTTGGTTTAATGGATTTATTTAATAATGATATCAAAGTTGTCGCCATATTTGACTTTTGAAAAAATTGAATGAAAATAAATATGAAAAAAATTATTTTAAAAAATTATTCCTACCCTTCCAAAAGATAAAATTATATAAAAATGATGTGTTTTTAATTTTTTTTTCACCAATTTAATTTTTAATTTCCTAGAATTTTTTTTCTCTGAAAATAGATTCTAAAAACCAAATCAAACTAAATTTTGTTACCAAAAAAATTTCAGCATTATTCATTTAAAAAAAGGTCATTACATTTCAAACAACATACAAGTTAATCAACATAAAATAAGTTTGTATGACCACTTTGCCTTTAAAATTGACCATTTATAAAGAAAACATCTTTTTTCTTTTTTGGTTAAGTAAGTCATATTATAACCAAAAAAGATAGATATACAATGAAGTTTAATACACATCCTTTGTAGGGAGAACAAACATAAACAAAGAAATAAACTACTCCCTCAAAAGAAACAAACTAAGCCTATAGACGATAAATACACCAAACACAACAAAGGATTCAAAATTTCCCTCTAGCACTCTTCAAGTAATGAAGTTTCGCTTTGAGTATTCTTCTGTTATCCTCCTTTGTAGTCTCCTCATTAATGGGATCACTTGGAGATGGAGCCCCTCTACTTTGTAGGCTCTTTGTTTGACACAACAACTCTTGATTTAATTCTCCATTTCCCAACTCTCCCATATCACATGATTCAAGGACATCAAAAGCATTAGATATTGATGGGGTGAAACACTGCATCTCTCCCTCTTTGTTTATCACTATCGTTGAACTTTGCCCACCATCTCTCCTTTTTTTCTTCACCACTTCCATTTGGTTGGAACTTGTATGTTAGTCTCCTTGACTCTCCACTCTTGTTTGGAAGATGGAGGGTTCAAGGTCTTTGGCTTCTGAGGACACAAATTAGTGGCATGACCAAAAGTCTTACAACCATCACACCTTTGAGGCTTCCATGGAACCTCAACATGAATCTCATAGGGGTCACCATAACCAATATTTATTTTGAAAGACTTAGGGATCTCTTTATTTGCTGGCACTTCAATACATATTCTCACAAATGTAAGTCTGCTTCTCTTGAATATAGGCACATCCAAATAAAGAGGAGTTCCCATGATGCTAGCAATGTAGCCCAAACCTTCTTCGGTCCAAAGCTCCAAAGGAACATTATACAACTTCACCCACAACGGCACACTCGAAAATTCACACTTTGTTAGTTTTAGTCCAGGTTGCCATTTTTTAACAACAATCAATCTAGCCCCAACGTAATAGAGGCCATCTTCCAAAATTTTTTCTATAGCCTCTTCACTTTTTACTTTAAAAATAAAAAACCCATTATCAATGGAGACAACATCCTCAAGAAAATTTCCCCAAAGTTTCTCTGTCCAAGTTTTCACATAATGGAAAGAGAATCTTTTATCAATGAAGTATCCAACCAAGGCATTTTCCCAATGAGAAAAGCCTTTTTTTGAGATCTCTATAGGGACATTGTACATGCCATCTACTAGGTTCTCAATCTTATGGGCACCTATTTTATACTTCATTTTTGACACCTTGTTAATCTCTTCTTTAAGTAAAGAGCTCCAAGCTTGTAGAGGCTTACTTGATATAGTAGTTGTATCACCATCAAGACATTAATCCTTGCCAGATTGTGTGTCTTCCATATGTAGTTCAACAAAATCTTCATTACTACAAGCTCGCACATTTTCAACACTCTTCCGTTGCATGGTACCAATTATTTCTCTCCTTTGATCAGCATTGGGTGAGCCAAGTTTATTTGACATTATCATTTCATTTGCCGCCAGTGGGGAAACAATGGCCAATTTTGGCCAATGCTCAAGATCAGTTAGCACTCTAGTTGGTGTGTTCCATGCATTAGGTATTTGGTGCTGCTTTGATGATTGCTCAGTTGAGGCTTGCATTTCCACGTTCATTTGCAACCGTGGTGTACCAAGATTTCCACACAAACATCGATCGATACAATCACACTCGATTGAGCTATCCTCTGATTCCATATCCCTTAATTCCCTTTTATTTTCATTCGAGGGCCTTTGCCATGGTCCCACAAAATCTCTAGATATGAGAGATTTGGGGGCGATTGTCTTTATTTGAAATAAGATTCAAAATTTATGATCAAATGCATTATAATTGAAAAATCAAGAACCAAAATAATACAAATCTTAAACTACAGCAACTATTAGTGTAATTGGCCCTTAAATTTATGAAAACAAACGGTACATGATTTCGACTTTCAAGTTGGGAGTTCAAAGTTAAAAACACTTAAAACTTAATTGAAAAAGACTGTTTGAGAGATAAAAATGTAAAACATTTGGTGCATAATTGAACACAGAGTTATATGCTTAAGAGAGAGAGAGAGAATATTGCAAATGATGAGAAACACAAAGACATCCTTCATTGCCTTCTAGCTTGAGTATAAAAAAGACACACACATCCAAAATAGTAGTCTCACATAAACAAATGTGTACAATAAAACCAAATATCAACACATCAATTCCAATCAAGAATATATATATATATAGAGAGAGAGAGAGAGAGAGAGAAAGAGAGAGTCAACATCCTCTCATGTCGATTTCTTCATACATCCATCAAGCTAGCAACCTGAAAAACGTATATCATGAAAAATTATTTGTTAGTCCTGAGACAAATTCATATGATGCCCTAATCATAGAACGGAGGATCAAGATCCAGAAGTCAAATCGAGCTTTCTCCTAAACCAAGAAAAGGGGGAACATGAATAGGAAAAAGCATGTAGCTTTAACCTTTGGCTAAAAGCAAATACTAACCTTTCATATCCAAATATACTAAACAGTAACATCCATGTGGATCCATAAGCTAAACTTTTTTTTTTTTTTTTTGAATGGATGCATAAGCTAAACTCAAAATGAAAATTGATTTACAAAAATAATTCTTTTTTCAAAAAATTCAATCACAATGTTGAAATTATGTAATGTAACGTGTTTTGAAATAAAGATAAAAGGTCATATTATTCTGATTGAAAATTTTATATAAACTTTTTGTTTGTATATAACTACCCACTTAAAATAACAGGAGAAAAAAAACCCTACAAAAGCAAAAGTGTAGGGTTAACTTTGAAATAACAAGAGAAGAAGAAAAAAAAATCAAACTAGAAAAGCACAAGAATAGGGTTAGAGCGAGAGTGCTAAATATTGGCTGATACAACGATTTTGAATTTTTTACATTAATATTCATTGATATATTGATTGATATTAGATGATATATAATAGTATCAATAATATTAATCCCTATTCTGATGCTATTATTTAATTTCATGATTAGGGTTTGAGATTAGGGTTTTAAGAAGAAGTGAGTGTACTTAACTTAGATCTAGAGAGAGCAAGTGAAGCCAGGAGGGGGTGTCTTCCCACAAGTGACAAGAAGTTGAAGAGCCAGTGGAACAAAAATATTAAGGTTAAGAACCTTAAGCTGCAAAGTAGTACACAAACACACTGCAGCCTCAATCTCCACCAGCCCTTGCAACACAGGGCAACAATGGTCCGCCACCGGGTCGCCGAGCCCAATATGGACCAACCCACCAAGCCCAATGTTGACCAACCCACCAAGCCCAATGTGGACCGACCCACCAAGAAGATCCACACAAGCTCCAAGTTTGAGTGTGTCAATTGGGCATGTCTGAGCATCCGGTGGCGGCGGGCAAGGCTTGGTGGTGGTTAGTGGGTTAGTCACCGGAGGGAGGTTGATGGGTGGTTTAACAATGGGTGGGAGGGTAATGGGTTTTTTGTGTTTTGGAGAGGGTTTTGAACAGTGGTCACAACTTGGAGAGGGTTTTAAACAGTGGTCACAACTTGGAGGGGGTTTTGAACAGTGGTCACAACTTGGAGAGGGTTTTGAACAGTCGTCACAACCAAGGATTGGGGTGGTTAAGAAGATGAAGAGCATGGAAATGAGAAGGAGGGTGGTGAACTTAGAGGACTCCATTTTTTTTTTGGTTTCTCTCTCTCTCTCTCTCTCTCTCTATGGTTTGTGTTGAAGAAGAAGGAAAGAAATGAGGTGGTAAAATTGTTGTAGACGATTAAGGTGTTATATAGAAAAATAAATCTAGGAATACGAAAACTAAATATAAAATCATATACAGAAAAAATAAAAAGTTCCTATATGTTGGCATTTCTGTCTAGTTCTTTTAATTTCATTTAGATTGATTTGAATTCTGAATTTTTTATTTTGTCTTAAATTAATCTAATTAATTCTATTTATTAGCACTTTTTTATGATAAATACGCATGAACGACATGTGCCATATTTTTAGGAGTAAAATTCTAAACTTAATCAATTTAGTGATTTAATCTCAACAAATTTAATGAAAATTTTCTATCAAAAATCTTAACGATATTATTAATTGGAACAAATTGACAACAAAATTAAAATTAAGACTTAAATTGAGTAAATTAAAATTGTAAGGACTAAAATAATATAAAAATCAAAATGTAAGAACCACTGATATAATTTGTCCGAAAATAAATAAATAGACAAGATTTTTTAGAAATAAATTTTATAAAAAAATTTTGATTGATTTTTTGTGTCTCATTTTATATCCGATTTTTATATTTTTTGCATGATTTTACATAGATTGATATTTCGTTTGAGAACATTACTTTTTAGCTTAAAAATCAAAAAATTATTAAAAGAAAACAAAAACAAATTATACAAAAAATGCAAATATTTTCTTTTCTATCTACTTTTTATACATCTTTTTATAAAAAAATTAAAAAATCATTATAAAAATACTAATTTTTTTTTATCTCATATTAGTAAAAAAAAAACAAAAAAAAATATTAAAATAACTCATTTTCAAACTAAGCCTGAGTGAGTGCCTAAAAAATTAAAATAAAACATTAAGGATGTATTTGGTTTGTGTTTTGAGATAAATTTTCAAAAAAAATAAATGGAGAGAGTTAAAAAAAAAATTTTGATTTGTTTTGTTGTATATTTTGAAAATAGTTTTGGAGTTTGGGATGATTTGATATTTTGTTGTAATTGAGTTGATGTGTATGAGAGAAAAAATAATTGATTGATGTGTAATAGAGAGAACTAATTTTGAAATTTTTTTGAAAAAATTTATAACTAAACATGTTTATAGAAATTTTTTTTCCAAAAATATATTTCAAAACACAAACCAAACACACCCTAAAACCTTGAAGCAGATCCCGTGAACTTCGATTGGCCAGGCTCAAAGGCAGCTGGCAATTTTCCTACCTTGCAAAAAAAGTTGTGCTTAATTGCCCCGTTTGGTAGAGTTGTGAGAAAGTGATTATAGATTATAACTTAACAGATTATAGATTATACCTTTAAACATAAGCTGCTAACCTGTTTGGTGTAGCTGTGGGATTATGGATTTAAACAGTAGAGTAGTGTTTGGTTGATAAGCTGTAAAATAACTTTTTGTTATATAATTGTCATTTTTGCTCTTATATGATATAAAAATAATTATTTTACCATTTTTTTTCAGTTTTAATTTTAAAAAAAATATTTCATTAATAAAAGTTAATAGAATTAGTATTACAAAAATTATTATTTTCATTAATAGTATCAATTAGTGTAAAATTATTTCATTTTTTTCATTATAATTAATGGCTTAATTAGCATCAATACCTTTTTTTTAATCTTTTTCTTCATTATAAATTAATTAATGTCAATTAATGGGTTAATTAGCATTTATTTCATTTTTAAAATCTTTTTCTTCATTATAAATTAATTAATGTCAATTAATGGGTTTATTAGCATCAATACTTTTTTTTTCTGTTTTATTTCATTTTTTTAATCTTTTTCTTCATTATAAATTAAATAGTGTCAATTAATGGAAATACAATTTATTTCAATATTAATTGAAATATTTTTTTTAGTGATATTTCATTATAAATTAATTTGTGTCAATATTAATTTCAATATTAATTGATATAAATTGCACAATTTATTTCAATATTAATTGATATTAATTTGGACAATTTATTTCAATATTAATTGCACAATTTATTTCGATATTAATTGCACCATTTAGTGATATTTCATTATAAATTAATTTGTGTCAATATTAATTTCAATATTAATTGATATAAATCGCCCAATTTATTTCAATGTTAATTGATATTAATTTGCACAATTTATTTCATTATAAATTAATTTGTGTCATTATAAATTAATTATTTTTAAATTAATTAATTAGTGTTAATTAGTGACTAAAATGCTTAATTATTATTTTTTTATTAAAAAAACACTGAAAACCTCCCAAAAAAAAAACATTGAAACCTTAGCTCTGGCAGTCACAGCGGTGCTAGGGTTTGAGATCGCATCTTCATCTTCATCTTCATCTTCATCTTCATCTTCATCTTCTAGGCCAAGATCTTCATCTCATTGTCTTCTCCGACAACACAACTACCACCACCGCCTCTCCATCCATCGCCATCGCCATCGCCATTGCCATTGCCATCGTCGAAGGCAAAGAGACCAAATCTGGGCAATGGTAGATCCACCACCGCCTATGACACCTCTTCTCTCTCTCTCTCTGTCTCTTTCAATTTCAAATACACTAGGCGGTAGAGGAGGAAGCAGAACAGAGGCAGTGGTGGTATTGGTGGTGGTGGTGGAGGTGGATTCGCCACCTTTGATCGAGGCTGTCGATTTGACTCTCCACACTTCCACATAGTCTTCACCGAGTCGGAAGCTAGATTTCCGTCACCCTTGAGCATAGAGCGGTGATTGTCACTCACTCTCATAGATCTGAATCCAAACACACACACACACACACACACACACACACACACACAGAGAGAGAGAGAGAGAGAGAGCTAGGGTTTCGCAGGAAGCATGCCACCTCCAAGGACATAGCTGGGAGGCTAGTGGCGGACATATTTTTGTCGCTTAACTTTTGATGTATTACATGTAACTTCAAGCCAAGGGCTTAATGTGTAAACGAGTTAGTACCCTTTTGTTGTAACCAAGTGTTAACTTGGAAAGCTGTAAGCCCGTAGGGCATTTTCTTTTGATGTTAACATGTAATACATATGTATATGAAACTCTAATGAATAAAGGAATGTGGATGGTTTGTATGTAAATGCATGTCTTATCCGATGGGTTAATGTCGTTATTTTGAGGGCGTTACAGATTGTCACTCTCATTCAATTTCGAATACACTAGGCGGCAGAAGAGGAAGCAGAATAGAGGCAGTGGTGGTGGTGGTGGTGGAGGTGGAGGTGGATTCGCCACCTTTGATTGAGACTGTTGATTTGACTCTCCACACTTCCGCATAGTCTTCACCAAGTCGGAAGCTAGATTTCCGTCACCCTTGAGCCTCTATATAGCGGTGATTGTCACTCTCATAGATCTGAATCCAAACACACACACACACACACACACACACACACACGCAGAGAGAGTGAGAGAGAGAGAGAGCTAGGGTTTCAGAGAGCTAGGGTTCTCCAGAAATCGCCTTCTTTTCGTCGAAAATCGCTTCTCAGAGACGGAAGCTAGATTTGACTCTCTACAGTTCCCCATAGTCTTCACCAAGTCAGAAGCTAGATTTTCGTCACCCTCGAGCCTCTATAGAGCAGTGATTATCAATCTCATAGATCTGAATCCAAACACACAGAGAGAGAGAGAGCTAGGGTTTCAGAGAGCTAGGGTTCGTCGGAAATCGCCTCCTTTTTGCCGAAAATCGCTTCTCAGAGACGTGTGAGAGAGAAAAATGAGTTGTGTTTCGTTTATATATGTGGCACACTTGTAATAACTTGAAAACATGAGGGGCATTTTAGTCATTTTGCCCCCATAATCCCAGCTGCGCATTTAAACTGAATTGAAAAGCACCTCCTTCCCAACTCAAAGAATAATCACCTTTTTTACTTAATTTAAGCTACAAGTTGATCATTTGAGCTACACCAAACACATAAAAATCACTTAATTTAAGCTAAAAGTTAAAATAAGCTGGATTTAAGCTCTACCAAATACCCCCAATGTCTGTTTGATCAATAGGAAAAAGAATAGTAAAAAAGTGAATGGCGTAGAAAGTAAAGTGAGAGAAACAAAATAAAAATTAAAGTAAGAATTATACTAATGGTCTTTATAGTTTAATTTGTATTATTTGATTCTTGATTTTTTAATTGTGATAAGTTTTAAATAAAAATTATTGAAAATACCATTGCTCAATTTTAATAGCAAAATTATCAATTTGATAAAATATAAATTAATTTAATAAAAATAAATATCAAAAAAATATTTTTGAATTTTCAAAAATTATTTCTACCCACTAAAGATAAAATTTTATAAAATTTATCAATTTGATAAAATATAAATTAATTTAATAAAAATAAATATCAAAAAAATATTTTTGAATTTTCAAAAATTATTTCTACCCACTAAAGATAAAATTATGTAAAATTGATAAATTTTTTTAGACATTTATTTATTTATAAAATTAATTTTTATTATGTGTTTGAATGATGATCATATAATGGGTGGTTGTTTTTATTTTCATTCAATTAGTTTCTATTTTTTCAAAATTCAAATACGGCGACAACTTTGATATCTTTATTAAATCAATCCATTAAATCAAAAAAATTCAAAACTAAAAACATTTCATATATTAAATATATCGATTGCAAATTAAAAATCTAACAACCACCCATTACGTGATTATCATCCAAACATATAATAAAATTTAATTTGGTAAAGTAAATAAATAAATAAATAAATGTCTAAAAGATTTACTCCTTCCATCTCAAAATATTAGTTCCCTACTTCATTTTTCATTGTCTCAAAATATTAGTCCCTTTTCAAAAATTAAGAAATAAAATAATATGAATTTACTATTTTTTCCTTCTTTTAAATTTATTAATAAGACAAAAAGTATAATTATGGCAATAGATATTCTCCAAAAAAAAATGTACTATTAAAGGGTAATTTTAAAAAATTAATATTTTTAAAATATAA